GAAATTTTGCAAGTATCTCTGAAGATCAGCGAACATTCCTGAATTTCTGTAAACTTCTCTTAAAATCCAAGAATCGCAATAAAATACAGAAAATTTCTTTAGACATCTGCAGATTGTTCAGTAGATTTACGATCTACTCTCTGAACTCTTCTGAAGTTCCTCAAATTTCTGCAAATATCTTTAAAGTTCTGTAATGTTATCTGAAGCTCCATAGTTGTATTCTCAAGATCTACGAAAAAAAACCTTGAGGATCAATAAATTTCTCAGTTGATCTGCAAACTTCTCTGAAGTTTTGTAAATTCCTCTGTAGGCTCTCGGGGCTACTCTGAAGATCTGAAAATTTCCCTGAAGATCTTCTAAATTACCTTAAGTTCTCCAAATTTATCTGAAAATATTTGAGCTTCCTTGAAGTTTTAAATGTTTCTCTCCAAATCTAAAAATTTCTCTAAAATCGAATAAGTATTCTTTTAAGTCGCCGAATTTCCCTGAAGTTTTTTGAAAATCTACACACTTTCTTGAAGTTCTTCAAATTTATCTGAAGATCTATGACCATTCTTGTGATTTTTTCAGAAGTTATGAAATTTTTTCAAAGTTATGTATCTTTGTTCTGAAGATGTACGAACTTCACTGATGTTCAATAATTTTTCAGTAGATCTCCAAAATTCTGTGAAATTCTTTATATTTCAATGTAGATTCTTGGACTGAAGTTCTGATTTCTGAATTTTGATTTTTTTAACGGTTATCTGAAGATCTACGATCTCTCTTGTAAATTTTTCTGAATATGTGCAAATTTCTTGAAATTTCTAAAGATTTGTAGCTCTGTTTTCAAGATCTACGAACTACCCTGAAGCTCTACAAATTTCTCAGTAGATCTCCGAACTCCTCTGAAGCTCTAAAAAAAGCTTAGTAGGCTCTCAGACCTCTGTTGGGCATGCTTATTCTTATATAATACATGCTTCGTATTATATAAACACTGTTTTGTTGACCAGGCCATTACGGTATCTTTCGGCCAGTCACACTGGAGATTAAAAATCAGTCAAATCATACACAGGACAATATTGAATAGTGAAATCGGTTTACCTTTCTGCTGAATGCCATCAAAACAGAAATAATGCGTTCTTTAGCAGTTCAAATCCGTGAATTTTTTGAAAAAAAAATATGTTTTAACCTCACTTGCGGCTATTTTCGAATGAAAATTAAACACAAACCTATTCCGTTCGACAAATCAAACGTCAAATCTAATCATCATGTCGAAGAAGTGTGAACGCATCCGAACATTGCATCTGACAAAAATTATCGAGCAGTCCGCTCGAATCAGACCAACAAATCAGATCTAGATAGAGCTGGAATTAGGGCGTAACAGCTTTTGTAAACAATGACTTCTATCGATGATTTCTAGGAATCCAAGGCACGTCCACGCAGACCAACCTAACCATCAGATAGGGGAGGTCTTTCCCTACCCGATGAGGATGTTGGTTTGCGTGGGCGAGCTTTGAATTTCTAGAAATCACCAAGAGAAGACATTGTTTACAAAAGCTGTTAGGTCCTAATTCCAGCTCTATCTAGAGATAGTCTAAACGCACCTTTATTTTCACTAGCAATAAGCCCCGCATGTATGCATTACCGTTATCAAATGAATGTTGGTATTACATACACACTTCTTTCGTCTTTTTAAACCTGGCGCGTATTTTAAGCTGAACATTGCACAGTGGTCCAGAATGCAGATTTAGGTGGAAGGATAAGTTTTGAGCCTAAAATTAAAATGTTAGACTAAAAGTCTCTTCTACAAAGTTGTTCCTTATAGTTAAGCCCTTCATTTTATGATAATGGATTCTAGGGTGGTTCTTATTATCATTGAAATCCAAAATTTATTATTATTTTTTGTTTCAAGAAATTAAGGTATACATTCTTCGGCAAAGTTATAGCTGAGCTGGGGGTGACCCCGGCGTAGTGGTTAGCTACCATACCTCTCACGCCAAAGTCACGAGTTCAAATCTCACCCCCGGACAAGTCACGAATGACCCAAGAGCGTTAAAGTGACTATAATAAAAAAAAAAATATATATATATATATATATATATAGCTGAGCTAATTTCAAGCAACTTTGTTCAAAATAAGTTTTTTGCATCTCTTGAATTGACCGATTTGAAGCTATTTTCTTGAATCGAGCTAGGGTGTCTCTAAAAAACAGTTGTTTTGCTCTAGTTCTAGTTCTTATTTCAAATTTTACAGCAATGATGTCTTCAAATAAATTTGAGATTTGATGAAGGCGCAAATTTTTGCTGCACAGAGCTTTTTGAATGTTAATATCTCTGGTTGGGGCAAACAAACAAAAAAAGATTTTCACGGCATTTGAAAGGGGGTATGTTATTATCAATTATATGAAAAAATATAGAGGTATGTTTTTTTTAACTCGTATACAATCAATTTGAATTTATTAATTTTTTACTATAATTGGGTACATCAACAAGTTTTGCTATGAAAAGTGCGCCTTAAAGAGCTTTAACAGTCTTTTTAATTAGACTTTCATGAGAAACTTAACACCTTTGCTGAGAAATTTGAAATAAGAAAACTTGATAAAAAATACTGTTTTTTAGAGACACCCTAATTCAATTTAGGAAAATTGCTCTAAATCGGTCAATTCAAGAGATACAAAAAAGTTCTCTTTTACTTGCTTGATATCAGCACAGCTTTAACTTCACCACATAACATATGTGGAACTTCATGCAAAATAGATGATTAAAAGTTGACCCCTTTTTTGTGTTACCTCAGTGGTATAACTGGCATATTTGGACATCGATCTGTCAAAACAAAATTTTCGTGATATCGACACTCAGCGTTCATAAGGACCAATGTCGAAAACGTAAACTATGGCTTCTTTCGAAAATTTCTCGTAGTTCAAAGTCAATCAATGTAAGCCACCGATTCTATCGGATAGGAGGACTCTCGCGGTTTACTTGAGTGAGTTTTCATTCTCGAGAAATTCTCCGAAAAAGAATTGTTTACGTTTGCGGCATTGGCCCTTATGAAAGAAAAGCAGATATATGGTTGCATGCTCAGTAAGCATTGATGTTGACGGCGACTCTGCAACTCTTTACCACTATGGTAAAATCTCACAAGCATCTGAGAATCTGTGCATGAAGTCTAGTGAACTTTTTCTTATCTCTTCATTCCACCATGGTACCAGCAAGCCGCCGTTTTTTTAACGTAAAGATTGATAGTATCTTATGGAATTTTCGTAGGAGTGAAAGAATAAGAAAATGTTCACCATGTTTCACGGTCAGACTGATGTTTACTTGTGGGATTTTACGGATTATACCATAGGAGTAAAGAGTTACAGAGTGAACGAAAAGGCGAATTGTCAACTGTCAAGATAATGTGCAATGAGTGTAAAGAGGTGACGCCCAGATAATTTATCGTCTCTTTTGTTCCTTCGCTGTTTAAATGGTTGACAGAGTTTGCTGTTTGCAGCTCATTTGATAATGCGGCCATTCTTTTTTGGAATTTTCAAACGATACTGTTATTTTCAAGTCGATAAGAAGTCAATCAAGAGCGCTGTTAAACAGTAATTTAACTTTTTATAGATGCAATATTTCTTCGTCTCTTCGACCTGGTTGAATTGTATTGGATTGATTGCGGATGTTATATTAATGCAAACAATTCGAAGATATTGCTGCTGCTCTCTGGACTTAAAACTATATACACTTAACTCCAAATTTGCACAATAGTATTTTTTTCTAATACGAAACCTTATGAAATCAAAGATTGATGCAATTGGTTACAAAAAAAATTCAAAGAAAAGATGGTACAAACATTTTTATTCAAAATTTGCCTCAGAGAAAAAAAAATTGATAAAATTAACCCGCGCAAATTTAGAGTTAGCAGAAATGAACGCGTGGAGTCTCCAAACTTTTTTTGGCCATAATTACAGGAAAACAATACGTTTTGGTATCAAAATTGGGTTGTAAATAGTTGGGTGGCAGGTCATAATGCAAACGTAAATATTTTGCTGTGTGAAGCAAGGCGATGAATTTATTAAAGCTAGCTATATAATTATAAATAAAGAACGTAAATTGTTAAGGAAATACGAAGAGATAAGTTCAGGAGTACTAAGAAGACATACCATTATAAACACGCTATAATTATTTTAATAAAATTGACTACCCCCTTGATCCTCTTAATAATTTTACAGCTGGTATAATCAATTTGACAGATTGATGTCCTTCCATACCACTTGAAATCACTCAAATGGGGTCGATTTTTGATGATCGAGTTCCACATATGTTATGTAACTTTGCCCAAGAATCTATACCTTAATAAAAAAAAAAAAGATTTTTAATGTCAATGCTAATAAGAACCACCCTAGAATGCATTGTTGTAAAAATGAGGGCCTAACTATAAAGAACAACATTGTAGAATACACTTTTTGTCTTAAATTTCAATTTCAGGCTCAAACCTTATCCTTCCACGGAGGATTCCGTTAAATTTCTAATCAGATCTCCATTTGAATTCTCCTCGGATTTGTTTTGGAGTTTTCCCCCAGCAAATATTTTTTGCTTTATTTGCTAGTTTTAATTGTTTCGAAGATAACAAGGTAGTTCCCGAGACTTAATGTTTTGTTATGTTTCGATTTGTCTCATACTGAAAAAAAAATGCCTGACTACCACAAAGGGGATTGCCCTCTATGAGAAAAATACTATAACCAACAGCAAAAGCCTCGGGTAATTATGGATTGAAACTATTTAAATGTTTAATGCATGGTTACGATTTCAATGGGAAAGTAGCAGAGAACTTGATAGATATTAAATTGATGCATTTTGCTTGAAACTGTAAAATGATACAGTTGCTATGAATCGGCTTCCCACACGCGCAAAACGAAAGCATAGTATAGCACAACTTAGATACGCAATGTACTTAACGAACGATCTTTAAATCAATGTCTGTATTCCTGTATTCTCCCGGACCTTTTCCCATTGTATCTGCCGAATGCCCGACATCAGTTGATACGCTCGATGAACGGCAACCGCAAGGAAACGGTCGAGCTGGTTCCTCTCAACGACCAAACCAGTAGCAAGGCCCTCTCGTCGCCGGATCGTACCGTCGGTGGAAGCACCATGAATGGGTCACTCCATTCGCTCGTCTCGAATGGTCATCACGATCTGCCAGCGGCAAAGACGCACCACTTGCCGACGATTCGCATGTCCGCATCGGCATCGCAGCTGCAAGCATCGAATCATCATCTCCCCAGTCATCATCAACATCATCTCAGTGATAGTAGTAGTAGTATTAATAGAAGTAAGCATGGATCGTCGAAAAGTCTTGCCGTGACGATGGGTGAACAAACCGAGCAACGCCAGCGGACACGGTCCGGCATCGTGGCCAACGGAGGAATCAATGCGACCGGTGCGGGCACCGGCGCCAATGGAACCATCGCCACGGGACTGACCGATGGCGGTGATACTGCTGCGGTTGGCTCAACCGGGTCTATCAACCAAAGCAAACGGGTTAGCGAAATCTTCGAACTACGTCTAAGTGTAGCTCCATTGTGTTCTCTAACAGTATACCGGCATTGCTTTTCGTTTCTTTCTATTCTTTCTCACTTTCTTGTGCGTCCATTTTACGTTCGTTGTTCACCATTCACCAAATCCGTAATTTTGTTTTATTTCTTCCCGATTTACCTCATGTGGTTTAACATCTTTTACCCCCAAATAATCAACCACCCACCCACCATCTCCTAGTTGCCTGTGTGCGGCTTCATCTAGGCTCATTTCGTGCTGTTTGGCTCTCAGTATATTGTCACATCACATATTTATCCTGCTATCTACTTATATGCACGAATTTAATTTATTTTGCTACTTTGGCTATTAACCAGCATCGGCAAAATCTGGCATCATGGTTCTCTTATCTATGGTTTGTGCAAACTGTCACCTATACGATACGGATACAATTCCTCCAAATCCAAATACACGCACTCGCCAAACGAAGACCAGCTGATTTAGACCAGCGCACTCACACACTCTCCCATAAACACTTAGTAATCAGTAATCACATTTTAATACTGAATTACACATGCGGAACGACTTTCGGGAGCTAATGTATGGCAAGGTAGAGAGAATTTACCAGCGCACAACACCTTGTAGATGGATTAAGATAAGATGTTATTTAACGGCTGATGGAAGCACAAACACAAACAGACATTACTTTCAGGGATATAGGTTTTTTAAACGAATCCAATTTACCGGTATAAATAGATATTCTTATCCTACTTTGTGTTGTTCTTGAAGGGCTTCCGCAGTTATTTGTTAAGAGATTTATATGCCAACCACGGAATTAATTTTTTATATTCTGTGGCAAGCACAATGGTACTGGATGCCCAGGGAAGTCGACATCATTTTCAGCCCGGAAGATCCTCACTCACAAACTCACTCGGCGGATATTGGCGATTCAGGATCCAGTTTGGAGGCCCCCAGGCATGAATTATATACACTGAGGCAAATAAGCGTAAGAATTTCATAAGGCTCGACTTATGAACGACACATCAGGATCAACAATAGAAAAGGGCCCATCAGCATGTGTAAACAAACCGTTCCAAAGCCCTTTACTCACGAAACGAAGGCCACCCACGCAAACCAACACCATCATCAGATAGGGGAAACATCTACCTACACTACGGTGTCCCAAAATTGCACTATGTCTGGACATCTGGGGACTCACCCTCCAAATGATAGCTAAGGGTGTTACAAACAAAATTTTGTATGGCGGCAACTCTGGGAAATGTTGTTTAGAGGTCGCCCCGACGAGATTTTTGAAAAAAGTCCATTTTTCATAGCTATTATCCAATAAATATTTTAGTTCTTAAAATTTCAGTAAAATCTCACCCTTTTATATTTTTCGCAGATTCCCAAGGGTCAAAACTATAAGAGAAAAAATTGCTACGACATGTTCTGTGTCCAATTTGTTAGTTACAATTTTTCAAATTCTCTAAAATGATGTTTTTTGTTGTACATCACTGATATATGGGGAAAAATCATTTTTATTTAATTGTAGCTTGTTTAACAATAATTTCCGGGGAAAAACTGAACTACAAAGTCCCTGATTAATTGCTTTAGGTTGTCGTTCACTTTTTTTGACCACCGAAAGCAAATTATTCCCACTTCTCTCAATTTCTATATGGGGATTTTTATCACTTCCTACCAGCGGAACAGCACCATCTCTGTGGAAAATGGTCGAACAAAATGATTAATTGAAAGTTGTTGGGTTTCGTGCTTGAATCGAAAGTACCTGATGACGGCCAACTCCGACGGCAAACGGTTTCTGGGCAAATGCTTCCTCGCAATACCGGTGATGAGATCCGACTTGAGCTTGGTTTTTGGTGACATGATTTTCTTTTTTGGTTCTGCTTGCTACGGCAATCAAATGGTAACTAATAAATTGTGTGATCCCTCTCCGCTCATATATCCTCCTATTGAATTCTAGAAACTTCGAAACAAATGTTATCAAGTGATTTGCAACAAAGTAGGTGATTTGTATTTATCGATTTCAATGATAGTTTGATTTGCTGGTGGACATACTGTGGACAAACAAGTATTGAAATTCTGAACTTTTCTTTCCACAGTAAATCACGAATAACTTTTTAACGATTAAAAATGAGGTTAAAGTGTCTTCGGCAAAGTTTTTGCTTATAAAATTTCCCATATATCTGCTGCATTTGATTGATAATAGCGCTATGTTTGATACCCACTTTTGATGATTGAATGCAGTGATGTACAACAAAAAACATCATTTTAGAACATGCCGTAGCAATTTTTTCTCTTATAGTTTTGACCCTTGGAAATCTGCGAAAATTATAAAAGGGTGAGATTTCACTGAAATTTAAAGAACTAAACATATTTATTGGATAATAGCTAAGAAAAATGGACTTTTTACAAAAATATCGTCGGGGTGACCTCTAAACAACATTTCCCAGAGTTGCTGCCATACAAAAGTTTGTTTGTAACACCCTTAGCTATCATTTGGAGGTTGAGCCCCCAGATTTCCAGACATAGTGCAATTTTGGGACACCCTAACCTACACGATGATGGTGTTGGTTTGTGTGAGCGGCCTTCGATTTATGAGGAATGGACTTTGGAACGGTTTGTTTACAAATGCTGATGGGCCCTTTTCTATTGTTGATCCAGTCATTGGTCATTTCAGCTCAAGTGGGTGCAGAATTTTAAAAAGTTGTGGTCGATGTCACCGATTTGAGCCAAACTTAGCCAAAACACCTATTTTGGCATCCTGAACAAACGCCTTTTTTGATTTTGCTCTAAAGTGCCTAGATCCTTTTGGGAATTGTGCCATCGGCACGAGAATGAAATATTAAATCTGGATCAACAATAGAAAAGGGCCTATCAACATTTGTAAACAAACCGTTCCAAAGCCTTTTACTCACAAAGCAAAGGCCACCCGTGCAAACCAACACCATCATCGGATAGGGGAAACTTCCACCTACACGAAGATGGTGTTGGTTTGTGTGGGCGGCCTTCGATTTTAGAGGAATGGGCTTTGGAACGGTTTGTTTACAAATGCTGATAGGCCCTTTTCTATTGTTGATCAAGAAATAGCATTGATTTTTCACCAGAAAAGCTCAAAACTACCACTCACTCATCTGGTCATATCTGAAAAACTATTCGTCCAAATCATTTACCCTTTGATACACATCTAGTAAAAGAGTTTTCCAAAGTGTGGTGAAAATTTGAGCCATGGTGAAAATAAACCATTTTTGACAATTTTGATACCTGCCGGTAATCAGTATGTTTACTGTTGTTACTATAACAAAAACAAAATGTGGGTACACTTAAAAGAATCAAATTGACGTTCTAAGATCAAGAATAGCTTATTTGGTTATAGAGTAATCTCTTCTGAAAGTTGAAATTTTTAAAAAAATCTCGAAAATCCAGAGTTGTAGCCCAGCAGGGTCTAGACACTTTAGAGCAAAATCAAAAAAAGCGTTTGTTCAGAATGCCAAAATAAGCGTTTTGGTCAAGTTTGCCTCAAATCGGTGACATCGACCACAGGTGGTGTACCCGTGTACCCACTTGAGCTGGAATTACCCACATATGAATTTCATAAGCGTGAATTATGAATGACTTTCGTCTAACATGTGGTAGCTCTTATACGCCTATGACCATTTATTTTTTTCCAAGCCTTGAAAACGAGTGGTCAACGTAATCAACATGGGTCGGTTCCAGTCTGCTTCTTTTTATTTTTATTTTTTGTGTTATGATTATTTTTCATAAGGCAAATCAGTGAAATTCATACTGATTTTTTTGTGGCTAAAACGCTGTCCAGACTGAGTAGTTATAACATGTTATAACGGTTGTCAAATAATTACAACACAGAAACCACCATCAAGATAGCGCTATAACATGTTATAACTCTGAAGTCTGAACGTACTATAAAATTCATAAGTGTATCTTATGGAATTCTTACGTCCATTTGCCTCAGTGTACCGCAGGCAACCCAGAACTTTGCCAAACATTCGAAAGACAAAAAGCCGAATGGAGCAGTTCCAGGCAAAACAGCGGAAAAAAAAATCGAAATGACCTTCTCCGATTTGTATGAAATTTTGTGTAAGTGTTTATTATGAGCTATGATTCAATTTTTTGCTAAAATAACACGCAGAAAAAGGGTTTTTTGTTTCAGGGCCTAATGTATTTTGTTATTGATTCAAACATATTGCATCAATATTTCAACAAAACATATTTTTGAATCAACAAAATGGTTTTTAGAATCAACAAACAGATTATTGACTCTACAACCGGTTTGTTGATTCAAAAATATTTTTCTTTGAATTAACCAAATAATATATTTGAAACAATACCAAAAATATATTAGGCCCTGAGCCAAAAATATATCCATTTGAATTTAAAAATCATTTCTCTGTGTGAAGCCATTTTAGAACTTGTAAAATTTTCAAAATAGCGTCCTTGACATTTAAAAAAAAATGTAGCACGGAAACCGGCATTTCTGATCGAAATGACGCCTGAGACAAAGTTGTAGAGAAAAATAATGTCTTTCTAGGAAAAATAAACCGAAAAGTTTTAAGAAAAAATTCAATCAAAAAATAAAAAAAAACTCAAATATCTCGGAATGGTTTTGCCGGAGTTTTGTTTTTTTTTTTTTTTTTTCCAAAAAAGGTTTATGTAAAATGCAAACTTTTGCAATGTTCAAAACCATGGACACTGGTCGCGCACGGATAGGACCCGATTTTTACGTTGTGTGATAAAAGGAAATATTGAAACGAGAACGATTATTTGACCGTCCTGCCATGGCGGAGGTACGAGAACTATATAGACGTTAATATATTGTAACATATGGCAATGACAATGATACACCTTTTTCTTCGGCAGCCTTTCCATTTGAACTGCGTGTTAACCAGCTGTTCTATTATCGACAACTCGAAATCAGTCTTTTAATAATTTAAAGAAAAACCTGACATAACAGGTTTGCTCAGTCGTAAAAA